GGGGGGGGGGGGAACCCAACATTTTTACAATGAAACACGGAGCAGCCCATAAAGGCTTTTCACCTCGGTCTACCTCGGACCGAGGCCACTGTTGAGTTTTTCTTGCATGATTTACGTCCAAACCACTTGAAATTATCACATAAACTCCACATTACATCATTGTTAAGAATCATACGACAACAGTTTACCTACATTATAATAAATTTTAGCTAAAGGTGGATTTTTATAAAGGGAAATGCTATAGTCTCCTGTTACGGAACTCGAAATTTATAACCGTTAGATCATTATGTAACCGTCGTGGTTAAAGAATCTAACGGTTACAAACCAAATAATTCGGTAGCAAGAAGTAGAATCTCCTTTTTATAAAAGGAAATTCGAGAGGGGAATAATAATAATAATAATAATAATAATAATAATAATACTCTCAGCAGTCGGGAAACTACCTTTTTCCTAATCCTCATAAACGTCGCTCCGTTCTCGTGAAGCCCTTCAAACAAAATCTGCGTTTTCAGTTTAAGGTATTGTATTTCTTTTACACTTCATTTTAATTTCGCGTTGAATTCTTGTTAGCTTGCAATTTTCAGAATTTAAGCACGCGTACAGTATTTTTTTTTTTTATTTTTTTTCACTTGTGTGCCGCTAGGGTTTATGCTCTTTTGTTTGATGAAAATTATTTGAGATTCTATTAAATTCTTTGTTTGATTTTTTTTTTTGTAATATTGATTATAGAATTCATGATTATGGAAGATGATCAGCAAGGTGACGCGGCTTAGGATATAGCTGTAGAGGCGTTTCCGTTTTGCCCTTGAGAGTGAGGAATCGCCCTCAGAGCCATTTTTCAGAGATCATGGGCGGCGAAAATGAGGCGCAAGAGTGTTTTGAAGGGGAAGGTGGAGACAAAATCATGGTGGAAATTGTTGGGTCAGATGTTTTTGTCAATGGGGCCATTAGTGAAAAAGAGTGCTCCTTATTTTCGGGCGAAATGGGATATTTGGAGGGTGACGCAAGGGGGAGCAAAGAAGAAATTGGAGGTGGGAAGCTTCCGGAGGGTGTGGATGTAGATGAAACTGGGGAATTTGAGGCAGGGTTTGAAGGGCCTAGAGACTATGATGCGATTATTGAAGAGAAGACGATGGGAGATGAAATAGTCAAGGAGGTTAGTGCTGAGAACCTCGCAAAATCTGAAGTTTTGAATTGTCCTGCAGAGGCTTCTGCCGAAGGGGTTTTTGATAAAGTGGAGAAGAAAGGGGTGTCAGCAGATTATGCTCATGCTAATTATACAGAAGGAGAAGGTTTAAGCCCGTTCAGTGATAAAGCTGGAATTTTAGGTCCTAAAGATGAAAATGCGAGCAGTAATGGTGATTTTGGTGTAGAAGCTGGAATTGTTGATGAAAAAGTTGTGGCTGCTGAAACTGGAGACTCGATTGTTGAGAAGGACTCTCATGTCCCTGATGTCTTTGATCAGAATCATGGCCGCGTTAAAAAAAATTGTGGTGTCGAGTGTGACTTAAAACAAAGATCTGATGATGTTCAAATTGCTGAAGTGAGTGGTGCCCTAAATATTGATATTCAAGCTGGTACAAAGGTAAATCAGCCAAATGTAGAGCAGATTGGTTCCAAAGTTTCCGCACCGACTATAAAGTCCCCAGAAACTGTTGAAACTCTAGTGGTTAATGTGTCGAAGGAAAAAACTTCTCTCCCAAGGGACTGTTGTGCTTTTGATGTGGCTACTATCCATGATGTGATAAATAATCCCAATGAAGCTGAAGAAAATTCTGAAAAAACAAGTGGCTTTTGTGCAACAGAGGACCATGCTATTAAAACTAATCGCATGGTTGTGGAGTATGATAAAGAACTCGAAGTTGACCACAGTGGAGAGAATGTGGAAGCTGAAATTTCTGAAGAGCCAGAATTAGAAACTGAGATTATATCGTCCAATGAGAAATCTTCGAGGCTTGAAAGAACCAACCTTTCATGTTGTCTATTTCAGAAAGAGGATCATTTTGTCCCGTCGGATTTGGTTTGGGGAAAGGTCCGCAGCCATCCATGGTGGCCCGGACAAATATTTGATCCGGCCCATGCTTGCGAGAAGGCTCTTAAATATCAGAAGAAAGAGGATTCTTATTTGGAAAGTGATTTGAAGTTACCTGAGTCGAGGGAAGAAAAAAATCATGTGGTTGCTGAGGAGGCTATGGACGTTTCAAGTGAAGGGGGTGAAGATAATAAGGTGGAAAATGATTTGAAGTTACCTGAGTCGAGGGATGAAAAAAATCATGTGGTTGCTGAGGAGGCTATGGACGTTTCAAGTGAAGGGGGTGAAGATAAGAAGGTGGAAAATGATTTGAAGTTACCTGAGTCGAAGGATGAAAAAAATCATGTGGTTACTGAGGCTATTGATGCCTCTAGTGAAGGGGATGAAAACAGAAAGGGGGAAAGTGCATTGGGCCTGTCTAACTCTGGGGATGAGGAAAGTTTAGTTGTTAAGGAGGTTTGTAGTGAAGGATATGAAAATAAGGAAGGGAAAAGTGAGTTGGGGAATGAAAAAGGTACGGTTCTTAAACAAGCTGTAGACTGCAGTTCTGCTGAACCCGAAAATGTTGAGGCAGGGGTTTCGTCTGTGCCGACTCAAGAAGATATAGCGACGAATCAATTGGTGATTAGTGAGAACAAGCCAGTTGAAGATGAAACAGTTGATGATGTAAAACATGGTCTATCACGGAAAGACGATGTATCGCCATTAAGTGGTGATGCTTCTAATCCAGATCAGCCCGTCTCGAATTCCGTTTTGTCTCTTGTGGCAAGTGAAAAAACAGACGACAGTCAAATGGTACGTCCGGACAACATTGTCGACACTAATGGCGAAGGTCCCGAAAACGTTCAGGTTGATGCTGGAAACATGCAGACCGAGATTGTTGATGAAAAAGAAGGTTTGGCTGCAGGAAGCAAGGATTTGGTTGTTAAATCGGATTGCGTAAATGACTCTCACGGAATGAAATTGGATAATGAAAATGAGAGCGAGGAAGCTGCTAGTGGGGAAGATTTTGACGTGGTACTGGATTTCAACGATTGTACACGAGATATTAATCCGAATTTAAGTTTAGCCAATGATGGTGAATATTTGAAGAGTGATAGAGGTTTAGTATCAAATACAGATCATCCAGACCATTTTGTCTCACATGAACAAACTCAACCGGCTGATGAGATCGATACTGATATGGAAAATCAGCCAAAAACACTTGAAGGTTCCGATGGTGGTGAATTGTGCAAAAACACTGATGAAATTGTATCGGAAGAGTCGAAGCAGCCTTTAGACTGTGAAAAAAATGGCGGTGGAATGCCATACTCTGTAGAACAAAGTGGCTTACCACAAAGTAAGGAACATGAAGAAGTTGAAAAGTCGAAAATACCCGACACTAGCGATAAAATCGAGTGTGGAGATGAGAGAAATGAATCTGGTGGAGATCCTCATGACTCAATGGATATTGATTCAGAACACACAGACGAAGAACTTCCTTCCAAGTCTGATAATTCGATACCTACTGTGAGATCTCCCAAAATGAACCAGGCCCATTATTTCTCACCTCCCGAAAACGAGGTCCATCACTTCGCTGTATCCGATTTAGTATGGGGTAAAGTCCGCAGCCATCCATGGTGGCCCGGGCAGATATTCGACCCTTCTGATGCTTCCGAAAAGGCTGGCAAACACTTCAAGAAAGACACTTACCTGGTTGCTTTTTTCGGAGATCAAACATTTGCTTGGAACGAAGCATCTCTCTTGAAGCCTTTTCGGCTCTTCTTTTCGCAGATCGAGAAGCAATTCAGTTCGGAAGGATTTCAGCATGCAGTTACTTGCGCATTGGACGAGGTCTCGAGACGGGTGGAGCTCGGTTTGGCCTGTTCGTGCATTCCAAGAGATAAATACGCAATGATCGAGACTCAAACTGTGGAGAACACAGGCATTCGCGAGGAGTCGAGCAAAAGGAACGGCCTGGACCGTTCTAGCCGAGTATCTTGTTTCGAGCCCGACGAGCTTTTCGAGTACATCAAACATCTCGCGCCCCACGCATCATTTGGGGCCGACCGTTTGGATCTCACGATTGCCAGAGCTCAGTTATCGTCGTTTTACAGTTTCAAAGGGTACCGTCCGCCGACAGTTTTCCCTTCTTCACCTGGGGATTTGCTCGAGGCTGAGCCTGAGAAATTAGCCAGTGATTTGACGATTATTACTTACCAAAAACGGAAGAACAGTCCTAAAGACAGTTTGAATTCTGCCAACAACCAGGATGAGTCGTCTTGTAAAAAACAAAAAGCGCTTGATGACCCTTTAACCGAAGGTTATGATAAGATGGTGAGTGTTTATGCAGCAAAAGTGTCTACTCAGATGAGCCAAATCCCGAACAAGCCATCGTTCAAGATTGGGGAATGTATCCGTAGGGTGGCCAGCCAGTTGACAGGGTCTGACGAGCAACACCAAGAGAAGCGAGGCACTGAAGTTTTCTCTGTAGAATCTTTTTCAGTCGAAGAGATGATTACACAGCTCGAGCTTGTAGCTCGAGAGCCCAAGAGGAGGCACGATTTCATAAGCGTGGTCCACACGTTCTTCATGGGCTTTAGGAGTGCAGTCGTTCAGAACAGGCGCGCCAGGAAGAAACGAGCGGCGGAGCAGGCTGTTGTGGTTGGTGGTGCTGCGGAGGAGTACGACTTCGATGATATTAATGACTCGTATTGGACTGATAGGGTCGTGCAGAACTATTCTGACGAGCAGAATCAACATTTGAATAATAACTGTGGTGTGAATGGGCTGGGGAGTCTTCAAAAACAGGCAAAAACGGGCCGTAGGCCGAGAAAGAGATTCTCCTACAGTGTAACTGCAGACAGCGAACGAGAAGATCGAGCTAAACGGGCGAAGCAAGAGTCTTCACCGGCCGAGCTTATCTTGAATTTTGTACAGAGGAATAATATACCTTCGGAGATTAACCTGAATAAAATGTTTAGGCGGTTTGGGCCGTTGATGGAGTCTGAAACTGAGGTTGACCATGAATCGGGTTGTGCCAAAGTGATTTTTAAGAGGGGTTGTGATGCTGAAGTTGCTCGTGATAGTTCGGAGAGGTTTAATATTTTTGGTGCAGGTCTTGTTAATTATCAGATTGGATATGAACCGTTGATCTCGGTTAAGGTCTTGCCGCTTGTAGTGCCTCCTCCTCCTCCACCAATGGAAGATGTGACTTTCATGCAATAACTTTGGAGTACGGTAATTATTTCTTTGTGTTTATTTATTCATGGAGATCTATTTTGCAGAAAACACAGAATGATTTATCTTACTTTCTTTCTTTTTCTTTACTGAATTTATGTTTTTGAAAGTACCACGGAAGCTGAGTATATTTTAGCAAATCAATGCTCACATCTCCTTGACATATGATTTTCATCTTACAAGGCGGCACACTTGTTGATGGAAACATTTGTAAGACAAAACACGAATGTATCTGCGAGAATGATTGTGGTACTTAAAATAAAAAACATCGATGCTGAAGGATATTTTCCTTTAATAATTGAAAATATGGTTATTCTAAGAAGATTGGTTGATTTATATCGAATGCCAATTGAATACATTTTCTGAATTTGTCCGAGAATGAACGATGAGACTTTGCTAAAAGGACAGAGAGGTATGGTTTTGTCCAGTTAAATGCCTATTAAACTTCATTGTGCATCGACTGACATCTGTCTCATGTCCACCCGATTTTCTGTAATTCTGTTGTTTTTCCTTTGTTAATTTGATATGCAAGTGAAATTGGTTAATGTTAGAACCTCATTTTTTTTTCACAGGTGTCTTTTAGCTGCATCTGCATTGTAAAAACTATCGATCCTTACTGTATTTCCGGTCATAAAAGTGGCGCAAATTCCTAGCAACAGCAGCAGGAGGAAGTTTATTTATGTGCACGGTGGTGGTGATGATGATTGTTGTTGCCTGGTGATTTGTTTTGAAGGATGAAGTCTTCTGATGTGTATTTATAGCTCTCAAGTATAATTATTAATTTCTCGGGGGAGATCAGAGATGTTTTTTTGCACATGTACCATTTGAGGGTTTGTATGATAGTGTATTTCTAGAGCTCTTGCATCATTTATCGGGGAGATGTTTTTGCAACTGTTACCATTTCATTTGGGTTTGGTTACGAGAACTAGGGCTGAAAACGAATCGCTCGTTCGCGAATCGAACGATTTGTTCGTTTAATAATCGAGTTGAGCTTGAACATGTAATTCAGTTCGTTTATTATTCGAACTAATACGAACACATTTGCGAACATAACGTTAATTCGGGAACAACAAGATTTTTAATAATAATAATAATAATAATAATAATAATAATAATAATAATAATAATAATAATAATAAGCATTTTTTAGTTTTGATAATCGAACTACTTGAACAATTCGAGCTAATCGAACACTTGAAAAGTTTAAATAATTTCAATTAGCTACATTAGCCAAACACTAACTTAACGAATGAAAATGAATATAAATTCAGGCGCGACTAGTAAACGACCGAACTCAAACAAGCTCGAATATTAGTCGAACTCAAGCTCGGATATCCCAAACTCAGTTCGGTTCGATTCGTTTGCAGCACAAAACAAGAACTACCCGCATTGAAAAAAAATAAAAAGTTAATAAAAAAAGAGCTCGGTTATCTATATATCTATTAATAACTACGTATACAAGTGTAGCTGGTGCGATGCATGGACAAATAATGATTAATTGTATATATTAAAGCAGTGGAATAATATTGATTAATATAAGATAGTTGTAAATACTAATATTATTATTATACATAGATATATTATGTTATTATATGTAATAGCTTAATATATAATTTATATGTATATTTGATCTTTTAGAAAATAGTTATCATTTTAGAGTTTTCTATATAGAATTAAGAAAATAAAAAATTTAACATATTCAATATTATCAATAAACTAGTGTGCAACCCGACGGCTCAAATTGGAGTCGAGATCGATTTAGATGGGTGCTTCGAAAAGAGTGACGACGGTCCTGGTCAAAACATCTTTGACCTAGTTGACCCAGATATCGACCCTGCTGAGTCAATCTGCTTTGATTCGATCACTATAATTTTTTTAGTTTTGGGAATTTTTTTTTTTTTTTTATTTCAAAGATAAAAGCCATGCATATATATTTATGGTAAATATTAATTGTGATATATAATAGTATTAAGGCTTTCATATACAAATATTTTATTCAAAATATTTATTTCTCTTATTTTTATGTATATTTAAATATATGTTATTTTTATGTATATGTATATATATGATTATATATATGTTTTAAAATTTTAATATGTGATGATACAAGAATTACCTGACGTTAGTCAGAGGACACGTGGCGACGATTGATGCTCCGACGTCTCCCTGGACTCGCCTCCTTTGCTCCAACGCCTGCAAAACAGAACCCCGGGGTTGTCCCCAGGGGTAGATCCTCCGATGCCTAAGTTAGAATAGGTTTTTTGGTTTTCTGGGGTGGTGGCTGCGGAATGAGTAGAAGAGAGAGTTTGGAGAGTTCCGAATGTCCCTTACCTTGACCTAGGTCGTCCTTTTATAGGACTCAGATTACCTAGGTCTCCCTTCTGCAACAGAGGACTTCCCAGCCCATTAGCTTCGTGGGCTGACTTCTGACCTTGGGCCCAAGGTAACACTCCTCTGGACCTTGGGCCTACAACAATTCTCTTCAGCACCTTGGGCCCAGAGTAAGGCTCCTCGGGACCTTGGGCCTAAATAGAGGTTGGGCTTCAGCCTCGACCTTGGGCACTGATGGTCCTTGGAGTACACGTGTCTTTATTCTCCCGAGCCACGTGTCTCCTAATAAATGTATATTTTTTCCCTTATCAATATGAATCATCCAATTTAGCATTGTTTTGTGACCCGGACCCGGTCGGCCAGGAGCCGATACCGGTCCGGGCGGGTTATTTGGACCTGGTAACAATAAACTCGGTCAAAACCCGGCCAACTCCCCGGCCGGATCAACCCGGTAGACCCGGTCTCTATAAATTTTTATTTTTTTTAATATTTTTTATATAAAAAATAAAAACTATTTTTATATAATGACATAGTAAATATTTATTGTGAGATCCAATTTATTAACACTTAAATGTACAAATTTTGTATACAAAATATTTATTTTTGTTACTTTTATGTATATTTATATGTCAAAAATACTATATATATAATTTTAAAAATTTTAAAATTAATTACCCGATTTTGCAATTGGCCCAATGACCCGACAGTTGAACCGGTGAACAGGTGACCCAGAAACCTGCCCTAGTCGATTTGCAGGCCGGATTTAAAAACTATGCAATTTAGCTATAACGGAGTGACCCGGAGGCCTATTCTATTTGATTCTCGGGTTTATATAAACCATGGTAGATGTTAATAAACTAGTCTCCTTCCTCGCCTCTCCGTCGTCCGATCGCTCGTTCTCTCTCCTCTGATTTCTCCAACCTTCATCATCCAACTCTCTCTCTCTCTCTCAGCGCGCCAAATACAAATCCAAGGTACCCCTTTTTATCACTGACATCACCAAGTTTTCTCTGTGCGTGTATATATGTATATATATATATATATATGATCATGTATTCCCATGGCATCAAATGGATATCTGAGTTTTTGTCAATGTTCAATATATGTTGCATATTTCTTGATTTTGTCGCGAACCTTTCAATTTTAATGCCGAGACCTTTTATGTTTTTTTGTTTTTTTTTTTCATTTTAAAAAATTATATGGGGTTAGGGTTTGTTTGTTGTTTGAGGAGGACGGATGGCGGACAGTCCTGGTGGATATGGCGGTGGCAGCGGCAGCCACGAAAACGGTGGAGACGGCGGGGGTGATCAGAGCCCCAAGTCCAACGTGCGCGAGCAGGATCGGTTCCTCCCGATTGCAAACATCGGCCGTATCATGAAGAAGGCCCTGCCTACCAATGGAAAGATCGCTAAGGATGCAAAGGACACTGTTCAAGAATGCGTGTCCGAATTCATCAGCTTTGTCACCAGCGAGTATGCATTTTTTTCCCCTTTGAGCTGCGGAGTTTGTCTGTGCAATTTATATCGATTTTATATTTTGTAAACTTTATTATCTCGGATTGGCTATTTTAGCATCCTGATTTATGAAGAGGTTACTTCTGCCTCAAACGTGAATCACAAGTGCTTGATATTTATTGTACCTACTTTTCCTTTCATTAATTTATTGATTTACGGAAAGCAAATATATGCGTGTGTATCAATGTATCTCTTTTGTGCAGATGGAGTTGACTCCTAAAGGCATTTGGTCTAACTGTTGAGCTTAATGATGAGCACAACACACCTTTGATTAATTTTTTCGTAGGTCTATTCAGAAAGCTAACCATGGATGGACAAACTGTGAATTCATTTCGTCAACTGTTTTATATATGTTGTTCGTGTGACTGACTAGAAATAATTCAAGTGTTATATCGGTGACACATATTGTGTAATTAATAAAAGGTCTATAATTGGTAATAATTGATTTATGTATATATTTTTTTTTGTATATATGATTGATCATGTATTCCCATGGCATCAAATGGATATCTCAGTTTTGTCAATGTTCAATATATGTTGCATATTTCTTGATTTTGTCGCGTCGAACCTTGCATTTTTAATGGCGGATCTTTTATTTTTTTTTTGTTATTTTTTTTTCTTTTTAAAAAATTATATGGGGTTAGGGTTTGTTTGTTGTTTGAGGAGGACGGATGGCGGACAGTCCTGGTGGCTATGGCGGTGGCAGCGGCAGCCACGAAAACGGTGGAGACGGCGGGGGTGATCAGAGCCCCAAGTCCAACGTGCGCGAGCAGGATCGCTTCCTCCCGATTGCAAACATCGGCCGTATCATGAAGAAGGCCCTGCCTACCAATGGGAAGATCGCTAAGGATGCAAAGGACACTGTTCAAGAATGCGTGTCCAAATTCATCAGCTTTGCCACCAGCAAGTATGCATTTTTTTCCCCTTTGAGCTGCGGAGTTTGTCTGTGCAATTTATATCGATTTTATATTCTGTAAACTTTATTATCTCGGATTGGCTATTTTAGCATCCTGATTTATGAAGAGGTTACTTCTGCCTCAAACGTGAATCACATGTGCTTGATATTTATTGTACCTTCTTTTCCTTTCATTAATTTATTGATTTACGGAAAGCAAATATATGCGTGTGTATCAATGTATCTCTTTTGTGCAGATGGAGTTGACTCCTAAAGGCATTTGGTCTAACTGTTGAGCTTAATGATGAGCACGACACACCTTTGATTAATTTTTTCGTAGGTCTATTCAGAAAGCTAACCATGGATGGACAAACTGTGAATTCATTTCGTCAACTGTTTTATATATGTTGTTCGTGTGACTGATTAGAAATAATTCAAGTGTTATATCGGTGACACATATTGTGTAATTAATAAAAGGTCTATAATTGGTAATAATTGATTTATATATATATATTTTTTTTTGTATATACCCAATGGATTTTGGGAAAATTTCATGGATAGGTGTCGATACGGTTACACTTTCTTTTAGAAAAAATTGTGACGTAGATTTATTAAGTAGAAAAAAAGTCATGACATAAGTTATGATTATCCTATAGTAAGGTACACTAAAAATCAACTTATTGTGGTATGGATCATGTTCCGGTGTTATATGTTGCTCTAGATATGAGTAACTCATGGAGATTATATTCCACCAAATTTCATTTTGATTCAACCGAATTAAGTTTGGATGGACATAATTGGATCTTCTTGCACTTCTTATACTTAATTTGGTCAAGATCAGGACCTTGTCACTTTAAATACTTTTCATTCTTTCATAACTCATTAGTTTCGATTTGTTGGAGTTTCTTGGCTTATTATTATTTTCAAGCTGAGTCATCTCATTTCTTCCTGGTGTATCCACTGCTCAAGCAATATGCCATATATAATACATGTACACATAGCAGTGGCACCATCAGAGTAGTTACCCTGTTCCAAATGGTTTTCTTGATGAAAGCCATGACTGATGAGTACACACTGTTTTGCCCTTGTAATCTCTGCTAGCTGCTCCAGTGCATTTGATATTATGTAGAACAAAAGCCTACCTTATTTATTTGATTTTTTCGCTGATTTAGTATATCTTACCTACCATATTTATTTGTTTCTTTTGCTTATGTAGTAAAGTATGTATTATCTACCTTGTTTTATTTGATTCTTTAGCTGATCAGTGAAGTGTATATTATCCATCTCTGGCTTTTCTAGATTAGTTAAACCCAATTAAATTAAACCACTGTCCTAGGGAGACTGGTTTCTGTTGTATCTCAAAATTTACTTCTCTTTTTCCTGTTGATCTTAGGGATATGGTTATATGTCTCCTTGTGTGGTTTGGTACTCGTTCAATTTGCACAATCTGAGATACGTCACCACAATTGATTGGGGGAAAAAAAACAAGTACTTGAATTGTTGTGATGAATCTCCTTTCTTAAGAATATCGTTCACCGTGTTTTGTGTTTGTTGAACAGAGCTAGCGACAAGTGCCAAGAGAAAAGAAAGACAATTAACGGGGAAAAGAAAGACAATTAACGGGGATGATTTGTTATGGGCAATGGCAACGTTAGGGTTTGAAGACTATATTGCCCCACTGAAGTCCTATTTGGCTAGATACAGAGAGGTACTAGAAGTTTTCCTATCACTCTCACTATTTTGGTTTACTGTTGCAACAAATGCCATGCCATATCTAATTATCAGTTTCCCTGATCTAATGTTTAAATTGGCAATAGTATTTATATTTTATTTTGGAATATTAACAAAATTATGTTAAATTTTTTATGGGTATCCAATAGTACATGTGTAATAACAATCAGGCAGCAAGGAAAAGTATGACAAATGATTGGTGACAACATTGTTACTATCTGTGTCACTGCTAAATTTAACGAATAGTCATTGCGGAAAATCATATGTTTCTTTCTTGATATATCTAGTGAGGACAACTTTTTACTTTGTCACTGCTTATGTAGTCAATAATGTTTTTTTTGGTTCACATTGTAAACATGAAGGACATGTTTGCAAGATTTTGAGCCATTTTGCAGCAGATAATTTTAGCCATTTTGCAGCAGGTTGTGTGCTTTAGGAATCCTGTTGTGTAATTCTACTGTTTGATTTGCTTGAAGAATGAGAGGACAGTGAAAAAATCTATCTCGCATGCCCAACTAAACTCATATGGCTATTAGTATCTATTTTATTTTCTTTTTTCTTCCGTCTTCTTTTTTGTTGGGTATATCTAATGACAAAAATTTAATGTTAAAGCTAACCTTTCTCTTTTTTTCCTTTTCAAATGTACCCTAAATGTATTTCTGGAACGTCAACTTCACAGCTTGAGGTATGAATGAATGCTTTTAACAATATTTACTTGACCCTCTTTAGTTGATAATATATTTATGAGTTTGTGGCTTGTATGTCAATAGGGTGACACCAAGGGATCTATTAGGGGTAATGATGGATCTGTTAGGAAAGATGCTAGTGGTGTATCTCAACTGCATACAGATGCACAAGTGAACTTTCCAATTTTGTTTAATTTATTTATCTTCAGTTTATAAGATCATTACTGCTATTAATCTCCTTCAGTCACTAAGCATTTATTTATTTATTATTATTATTGCTCTCACCTTCTGGTTGGCATTTGGCAGTTTTGCGCATCAAGGCTCTTTTCCCCAGGGCATGGGTTATTCAAACCCGGAGATCGAATATTGAGTGAGTTTTCATCTCTTTGACCATATAGCAATTCTTGGATAATGTTCAACGGAGCTTTTTTTTTTGGAAGTGTGTATTGGCCTCTAATTCTGTTCGCAATGTCAACCATTTGAGAATGTAGGGTTCTATTTTAGGCCACTTGAGACCGGGATTTCCTCTGCTCTGTCACTTGGGCTATATTTCAGTGTTTTTGCTGGTGTTTTTATAGTAAGGACTTTGTTTTTAGATTTTTAAGTATGCCTTAAAATAAATGATGATTTCTTGAAATGGCTAAAAAATGCGATAATTAGGATGATTTTCATGCTAGGCTTGCGATAATTAGGATGATTTCCATGCTAGGCTTACTGATCTTAGGGTTTTATTCACAGCTTATTTTTGTTGCTTATCTAGAATTACATAGCTGATATTTAAAATTTCCCTTTAGAAAAAGGAAAGGGTTCTTGCTTATTATGAGTTATGTTTCCTTAAAGTGTTGCAAGAATTTTTTGAATCTAAAGGCAAGGATGTGGCTCGTCTCTGCTGAATTCATCTCGTCATAGATGGCGGTGATGTTTTTTTTATTTATATTATTTATTTTATTATTTTATAATACACTGTGAACTTCAAACGAAGTATAGTGATGTGTTTTTGTTATAGTTATATCATATATGTAATATGTATATCCTAAATTTCTAAATTCTTTGCTCAATCTTGCTATTGAGCATACAGTGTGAGATTGTAATAGTTGCTTTGCTTCAGACAACAGAATCAGGACTATCTCCAGCACCAGCAGTGTGTAACAGGTTATTAGGCCATCTGCATGGGCCATCTAATTTAGGGTATCTTTAACAATAGGTTTTGATAAGGTTTATAAACCTCAGTTTTAGAGGTTTAACTATTAAAAGAGGGGAGGTTTAAGGTTTACAAATGTAAACCAGGTTTACATTCTTAAACCTTATATAAACCTCAATAAAAAAATATTAAAAGTATAAAAAGTGGAATTGTAATGTAAAAATATTAATAAAAATATAAGAGTATAATGATGAGTGGGAAACATGTGGGCCCATACAAAAGAGGTTTATAGATTTTATTGTTATTGGAGGTTTATGTGTGTAGGAGTAAGAATGAGGTTTTGAATGATGTGACATATTGGGAACTGAGAAGTGTAAAAGTAGGTTTATGAGAAGTTATTGGTAAAGATGCTCTTAGGCCGATTCAATGAGTAGAGCCCGTCTAACATGGATACAGTGCATCCATTAATAGCGGGTCCTATTTTGGTTGAGCACTTGAACTCAACATTCAATAACTTTTGGTGCTTTTTTATTTTTTATCTTTTTTTTTTGTTTTAAATTAGTTTATTATCCAAACTATTTTTTATATTTAATTCAAATTTTATCTATAATACACTTCTCAATATGGATAAATTTAAATTTTATGTGTATCACACTTCTCGATATGTATCACTAATTTACATTTATATCGCCATTCTTTTCATGCCTATAAATACACCACAATTTTACAATTCTCTTGCACCAAAAAAAATAACATTTTGCGTAAAAAAAAAAGTTTTGAATAAGGCATGGGCTCTGACATATTTATCAGTTTGATAACTCAAATTATTGTGTCAGAATAACGTGTTATGGCTATGACGACAATATTGACAATAATATTGTCAGAATCATGTGGTATGGGCATGATAATCTTATACGTAGAGATCTATATATTCAAAGCAATACAACGTATTTTTTTTCTTGGATAAAAAATTATAACAAAAGTTTAGAATTCAATTAGAGCCCCAAAAAATGTCTCCGTACTCGTCTAAATTAGACTCTAATTCATCATCAACCACCCACAATGAAGATAGTGAGGACACAAACGATTCAGAAATTGCAATGGTATCATCCATTGTTCAACGAAGCCACAATTTACTTCAAGCATATCAACGCGAAATTGAAATTCGTAAAAGAAGAAGGCTCATCCAGAGAAATCGTGAGGCACGACAGATTGTAAGTGATTATTTACTTGGAGCCTCTTTTGTACTTACGAAATCTTAGGATTCCTGTTGGGACAGTTTTTTAAAGGCGGATATCATATTCTCAAAATTGGTATTATGCAGTGGTGCACCACTTTGTTTGATGCACAGGCTTGCTAGTCCTCCAACGTGCAAAGGCTTTTAACATAAAGAAAAAAGATTATTCAAACTCCTGAATTTCTTCATGCTCTCCAACCCTTTTACAATAACAACAAATAATATTATATCATGATTGAGTGAAGCGGTGTTGCCTAACAATGATATCATAACCCCGTGGGAATAAAAGAAACGAAGACTAAGGAGAAAATTTCCAATGATTGAAAATTCTCAGGGAGTACTTGTTACTGCACATGTACAACTAAATAACACAATTGTCATCTCGATGCAAACATTTAGTTAAGCATGTAAATTGCTTGTGAAGGATAACACGAATACAACAATGGATACAACAATGGATTGTCGGTTAATAGATCCACCTCCTCACATCAAAGCATTAATCATAAAAATTGATTCCAAAACATGGATGCACAATAAAATCAATTATGAGAAATATATTTACAGAACAAGAATGCACATATCATGAATTGCACCACAACGTGAATGAAGAACACGAATCACAAAAAAAAAAAAAATCAAAAAGCGTGAAATTAGAACACGAATTTCAAATCACACTTTATAGAGTGTCGCTTCTATTTACGTTTCAAATCACAATTCACTGAAACATGAATGCATTCCAAAGATTTACCTTGATACATTGATGCATTCAAGTGAAATCAGAAAATAAATAAAATATACAACTAATGAATGGACAATGGAAATTCAGTAATTCTTGAAAATAAATAAATAAAATATACAACTAATGAATGGACAACAGAAATTCAATAGTTCTTGAATAAATTGCTACATATCGTCTAAAGTAGATTTCTTAAAAACAACAGAAAGATCTTTTGGTACAAATCTTCTCATGCTCAAGTTTTGCTTCCTTGAAAGCTTCTTTTATACGAGACCAAAATCGATCAGATAATTGACATACCCCAATAATTGTAATGATCACTCTCTGCAAAGATTCTCACGTCTCTCAGTGCTTGACCTGAAATGACCACCTTTGCAAAGGTTCTCACACTTCTCAATGTCTTGACCTGAAAATGACCACTTTGTGAAAAGGTTCTCACACTTCTCCAAGTTTTGACCCGAAATGACCATTCTCTGTAAAGGTTCTCACATTTCTTCATGTTTTGACCTGAAATGACCATTCTCTATAAAGGTTCTGATGGAGTCGAGACCGCGATTGCTTTTCTGGACAAATTTGACAGGCTTCGAGTGTAGCTCGATTATTCGTATTACCTATTTTTATATTTTATTAGTTATGATGGTTATTTAAATAAAATATCTTGCACCATGTTAGGCAAGATACCTTTTTAGAATAGGACTCTTGGTATTAAATAACAGATGTTGCTAGGGATTGAGCAGATTAATGAATTTTGAAAACAGTTTATCGTATTCCTATCGAGAGAGTATCTCGTGTTCTTTCCCTTTCGTATCACGTTCTACATCAGTTGGTATCCAGAGACCAGCGAAGATCCGCGATGCCGCCGAAGCGAGATAACGTGGACGAGCGTTTCCAACGAATGGAAGAGAGATTCCAAGGAGTGGACGATCGATTTACGGACCTCTCGTCGGGGATCGAGGAGATACGCCAGGCAATGGGCACCTTGCTGGAGGAGGCGCGTGCGAGACGCGACGGTGGCGACCGGGCCGTGCGCGGTGGGTTACGCGGAGGCCGTGGGGGACGTGGCCATGGCGGGGCGCCCCGCCGGCGTTCACCAGGGACTCCGTCCGGCGAGGAGGACGATGAGGAGACCGTCGTTGAGGAGAATCCGTTCGCTGGAGGACAGCGGCGGGGCCCGGCAAATGACGAGGTACTTCGGCAGAGGGATAACGGCGGCGGTCGTTTTGTTCGAGGCGGCGGAGGCGGCGATTTCAGGCGTCGCGAGGGACGCTGGGGTCGTGACCGTGCCTTCGAGGATGACGACGGAGAGTGGCGGCCTTTTCGCCCAGGGTTTCATGAGGATGGTCGTCACTTCGTTGACGATGAGGATCGTGACGGAGACGGCCGTGGGGTACCGCACCGACGTGACGGCAAGCGCCCGATAGAAGGAGGCGATGAGTCACGTTGGGAACAAGGGTTTCGTGTGGAGATTCCCGAGTTCGACGGTGGAGTCGATGGGTCTGAATTTATTGATTGGTGGGCTGCGGTTGAGGCAGCTTTGGGTTTCAAGGAGGTCCCGGAAGAACGACGTGTTGGTTTGGTCGCCACGCGCTTTCGGGGTCGAGCGGCTGTGTGGTGGATGAATTATAGCAGTTTGCGGCATCGTCAGGGCAAACAACCACTTTCTTCGTGGATCAAATTCCGTGAGCTTGTAGAACGTGAATTTGTGCCGTTCAATTATGATAGCCTTGTGTATCAACAACTGCAAAATTTACGTCAAGGGACTCGATCGGTGAGTGAGTATACAACCGATTTCCAGAGGCTGCTAACTCGAGTTGATTTACATGAAACGAAGAATCAATTGGTCTCAAGGTACGTGGGAGGTTTACGTTCGGGGATTCGTGACATGCTTAATTTATTTCGGCCCGAGTCGGTTTCGGATGCTCACCAACGAGCCCTTCTTGTGGAAGTCCAGGCCGCACAAAAATTCAACTCCACGTTTGCTTCTTCGTCACGTCCAGGAGCAGCTATGGCATCGGGTACGCCCCAAACGCGTTCAGGTGCGACCGCGGCTGGGAGTTACAGTCCGGGCATGGGGGCGGGCCGTGTTTCTACGGACGGCGGAGGTGGACAGCGCGCTGTTGGGGTCGGTGGTCAGCAGCCTCCCGCGGCTGCCTCACGGGCCGTGGCGAACTTCCGGTGTTTCGGCTGCGGTGAGGTGGGACACCGCCAATCTGTTTGCCCGAAGTTGTCCGGGTCGCGTGCTTTGTTTTCCGACGAGACGACTGATTTGGGTGTGACTGAGGCATATGATGGACCGCCGGTTTATGATGTCGAGCCGGGGGTCGTGGAGGAGTATGTGGCGGGTGATGTTGGTACGGCTTTGGTCCTACGGCGCTCTTGTTTGGTACCACGAGGAGCAACGGATGCACCGGGGGAGCGCCATCAGCTCTTTGAGTCGACATGCACGATAGGTAATAAAGTATGTCGTTTTATTATTGACTCCGGATCTTGTGAAAATGTGATATCTCAGGAAGCAGTGGACAAGTTGCAGCTCTCCACTGAGCCTCATCCTCACCCGTATACTCTCGCCTGGATTCAAAAGGGTACCGCTATCACAGTTGGCCGACGGGTTCTGGTTTCTTTTTCTGTCGGGTCTAAATATCGGGACCAGGTGTGGTGCGATGTGGTCCCGATGGATGCGTGCCATTTGTTATTGGGCCGTCCTTGGCAGTTCGATACCTCAGCTATCCACGATGGCCGTCGAAACACCTATTCCTTCTCTTTCGACGGTGTCAAGATTATTTTACTCCCCAGTCCGCAACGCTCTCAGCCACCAGCGACTTCACCTTCATCCATCCTTGTTCTATCTCGCGGCGCAGTTGCAACGGCCTTGCGTGATTCTCCGGTGGTGTTTTTACTTTTGGGTATGGACCCGAGTGTGGAGCAGTCCGCGCCAGCGGCCATTCGACCTTTGTTAGCGGAGTTTGCCGATGTTTTTCCGGATGATCTTCCTTCCGGGTTACCCCCGCTTCGCGACATTCAGCATAATATTGACTTGGTTCCTGGGGCATCCTTGCCGAATAGGCCACATTATCGCATGAGTCCCATGGAGCACGAGGAACTGCGTCGACAGGTGGAGGAACTCCTCCAACGTGGGGTGGTGCGCCGGAGTATGAGCCCGTGTGCCGTTCCGGCACTTCTCATTCCTAAAAAGGATGCTTCTTGGCGGATGTGTGTGGATAGTCGGGCGATTAACAAGATTACGGTGCGCTATCGCTTCCCGATTCCACGTCTCGATGATTTGCTTGATCAGCTCCATGGTGCTACCGTTTTCACTAAATTAGATCTCCGTAGTGGCTATCATCAAATTCGGATTCGGCCCGGAGACGAGTGGAAGACGGCTTTCAAGATTCGAGAGGGACTGTTCGAGTGGATGGTGATGCCGTTTGGGCTTTCCAACGCCCCGAGTACTTTCATGCGTGTGATGAATCAGTCCCTTCGCGATTTTATTGGTCGGTGTGTTGTCGTGTATTTCGACGACATTCTTATTTACAGTAGATCGGTGGAGGAACATTTGCAGCACGTTCGTTCCGTCCTCATGGTCCTAAGGGCGGAGTCCTTTTTTGCCGCCCCTCATAAATGCTCCTTCATGGTGGACTCGGTTTTGTTTTTGGGGTTCGTCATTGCTGCTGATGGTATTCGCATGGATGAGAGCAAGGTGTCGGCTATTCGTGAGTGGCCGACCCCGACTTCTTTCACTGAGGCGCGGAGTTTTCATGGTCTGGCCTCGTTCTATCGTCGGTTTATTTCCCACTTTAGTACGATCACTGCCCCTATCACTGACTGCCTTACGGGCCCGTCTTTCTGTTGGACCGAGGAGGCTGAGGCTGCTTTTGCACTCGTTAAGCGTAAGTTGACTTCTGCTCCCATTCTTGTGTTGCCTGATTTTTCTAAACCGTTTGAACTGTCGTGTGATGCTTCCAAGGTGGGGATTGGCGCGGTTCTCAGCCAAGACAGTCGCCCGGTCTCGTATTTCAGCGAGAAATTATCGGGCCCGCGTATTCGGTACAGTACCTACGATGTCGAATTCTACGCGGTGGTGCGTGCTGTTCACCACTGGCGTCATTACTTATTTCATCGGGAGTTCATCTTATACACCGACCATGAGGCTTTGCGTCATCTGGCCACTCAGGCCAATATTTCTGCCCGCCATGCTTCGTGGACGGCTTTCTTACAGCAGTTCACATTTGTCCTACGCCATCGCTCGGGGGCGTCGAACAAGGTTGCTGATGCTCTTAGCCGGCGCACGCTACTTTTGACGGATTTACGAGTTGGGGTCGTCGGGTTTGATTTGTTACGAGAGGTTTACGCCGTCGACTCTTTCTTTGGCCCGATTGTTCGTCGGCTCGAGACTGGACATTTTGAGGATTACACGTTGTGCGACGGTTTTCTTTTTCGGGGCCTGCGCCTTTGTATTCCCGACTGCAGCCTCCGCCCACGGCTTATTGCAGAGCTCCATGGCGCCGGGCATGTGGGACGAGATCGTTCGGTTGAGCTGGTTAGTCGGTCTTATTTTTGGCCGTCGCTCCGGCGTGATGTCGCCCGTTACGTGAGTCGTTGCCGCGTGTGCCATGTTTCGAAGGGCGTAGCTTCCAATGCCGGGCTCTATCGACCACTTCCTATTCCCGACCGTCCGTGGAGCGCGGTAAGTATGGATTTCGTTCTTGGCTTGCCACGTACACAACGTGGATTTGACTCCATATTTGTGGTCGTCGATCGTTTCTCGAAGATGGTTCACTTCGTTCCATGCAAGCGCACCACCGATGCCCTCCATGTGGCTCTCTTGTTCTTTCGCGAGGTTTATCGCTTACATGGTCTTCCGTCTTCGATTGTCTCAGACCGTGATACTCGTTTCCTTAGCCATTTCTGGCGTAGTTTGTGGCGTTTGGCGAACACGCGTCTGGATTTTAGCAGTGCGTATCATCCTCAAACGGACGGACAGACGGAGGTTGTGAACCGGTCTTTGGGCAATTTACTCCGTTGCTTAGTGGGCGATAACCTTCGCAGTTGGGACCAACGCCTTAGTCAGGCCGAGTTCGCGCATAACTCGGCTTTGAGCCGGGCCACTGGATTTTCCCCATTTCAGGTTGTCTATGCCGCTCAGCCGCGGGGCCCGGCTGATTTATTGTTGCTGCCGTCGACGGTGGGCGTTGAGCGACGCGCTGCGGACCTGATCGCGGACTTACGGGCGACCCATGCGGCTGCTCGGGCCCGTTTGGAGACTACGACGGCTGACTACAAGGCTCGGGCGGACTCTAGCCGGCGCAATGTTGAATTTGAGGTCGGCGATTTTGTTTGGGCCGTGCTGACAAAGGATCGATTTCCGGCCCACGAGTACAATAAGCTTTCTGCTCGGAAAATTGGGCCGGTTGAGGTTGTTGAGAAAATAAACCCCAACGCCTATCGTCTTCGTCTTCCCTCGCATGTGCGTACGTCTGACGTTTTTAACGTCAAACACTTGGTCCCTTTTTTGGGCGATAACTCGGATGGAGACGAGACCGAGTCGGATTCGAGGCCGAATCCTTCCCAACCGGGGGAGGATGATGGAGTCGAGACCGCGATTGCTTTTCTGGACAAATTTGACAGGCTTCGAGTGTAGCTCGATTATTCGTATTACCTATTTTTATATTTTATTAGTTATGATGGTTATTTAAATAAAATATCTTGCACCATGTTAGGCAAGATACCTTTTTAGAATAGGACTCTTGGTATTAAATAACAGATGTTGCTAGGGATTGAGCAGATTAATGAATTTTGAAAACAGTTTATCGTATTCCTATCGAGAGAGTATCTCGTGTTCTTTCCCTTTCGTATCACGTTCTACATCAGGTTCTCACACTTCTCCATGTTCTGGCCTGGAAATGACCAAAGAGCCTCGAGGTCTCTCAACACTAACCCGAAAGGAAAGGTTCATACACCTCTCAAATGCACGATAATAAAAACATAATATATGCTCATTATTGCATACTTCAATCTCTTCAAATAACTTATCAAATTTCTCTTAACCCAGATTTTTAATCTCTTCACTGAATTTTAGCTTTGGCAAATCCTTATCTTTCTTGTCTGATGATAATGAGACTATGTTAATTATTCATACTCTACGTAAAAAAAAAAAGTGATAACTCGTGTTATCTCTAATAACAACAGAAATTCAATAGTTCTTGAATAAATAACTTTGAACTGTTATTGAGATTATAACCTCAACTTCGTGCGAAGACGAGAAATGTTATTAAAAACATATGAATTAAAATGCAATTTTGTGAACAAGAGGTTATTTTAGTTTAAATAGCAAAGATATGAATAATTAAATACTTTTAAAATTGATAAATTAATAGTTATTAAGTTAGTTTCTTAAAAAATTTAAGAACATTTTAGTGATTTTTTAATTATTTAATTGGAAAAAAGGAATTGATAAATTAATAGTTGTTATGTTAGTTTATTAAAAATTTTAAGAATATTTAGTGATTTTTTAATTATTTAATTGGAAAAAAGGAACATGAATGAGAGTATTAAGTTAATTGTGGTAGAATGACCCTACATTATAATAAATTTTGGCTAAAGATGGATTTTTATAAAGGGAAATGCTACATTTTCTCGTTACGGAATCATTCAGTCGGTATTTGTAAGTGTTAAATTATCATGTAACTGTTAACCTAACGATTACAAACCACACGAAATGATTCCGTAACAAGAACTATAATCTCTCTTTTATAAAAGGAAATTCGAGAAGGGAAGAAAAACACTCTCAGCAGTCGGGAAACTACCTTTCCCAATCCTCATAAACGTCTCTCCGTTCTCGTGAAGCCCTCCAAACAAAATCTGCGTTTTCAGTTTAAGGTTTTGTATTTCTTTTACACTTCATTTTAATTTCGCGTTGAATTCTTGTTAGCTTGCAATTTTCAGAATTTAAGCACGCGTACAGTATTTTTTTTTTTTTTTTCACTTGTGTGCCGCTAGGGTTTATGCTCTTTTGTATTGATGAAAATTATTTGAGATTCTATTAAATTCTTTGTTTGATTTTTTTTTTGTAATATTGATTATAGAATTCATGATTATGGAAGATGATCAGCAAGGTGACGCGGCTTAGGATATAGCTGTAGAGGCGTTTCCGTTTTGCCCTTGATAGTGAGGAATCGCCCTCAGAGCCATTTTTCTGAGATCATGGGCGGCGAAAATGAGGCGCAAGAGTGTTTTGAAGGGGAAGGTGGAGACGAAATCATGGTGGAAATTGTTGGGTCAGATGTTTTTGTCAATGGGGCCATTAGTGAAAAAGAGTGCTCCTTATTTGCGGGCGAAATGGGATATTTGGAGGGTGATGCAAGGGGGAACAAAGAAGAAATTGGAGGCGGGAAGCTTCCGGAGGGTGTGGATGTAGACGAAACTGGGGAATTTGAGGCAGGGTTTGAAGGGCCTAGAGACTATGATGCGATTATTGAAGAGAAGACAATGGGAGATGAAACAGTCAAGGAGGTTAGTGCTGAGAACCTCGCAAAATCTGAAGTTTTGAATTGTCCTGCAGAGGCTTCTGCCGAAGGGGTTTTTGATAAAGTGGAGAAGAAAGGGGTGTCAGCAGATTATGCTCATGCTAATTATACAGAAGGAGAAGGTTTAAGCCCGTTCAGTGATAAAGCTGGAATTTTAGGTCCTAAAGATGAAAATGCGAGCAGTAATGGTGATTTTGGTGTAGAAACTGGAATTGTTGATGAAAAAGTTGTTGCTGCTGAAACTGGAGACTCGATTGTTGAGAAGGACTCTCATGTCCCTGATGTCTTTGATGAGAATCATGGCCGCGTTAAAAAAAATTGTGGTGTCGAGTGTGACTTAAAACAAAGATCTGATGATGTTCAAATTGCTGAAGTGAGTGGTGCCCTAAATAGTGATATTCAAGCTGGTACAAAGGTAAATCAGCCAAATGTAGAGCAGATTGGTTCCAAAGTTTCCGCACCGACTATAAAGTCCCCAGAAACTGTTGAAACTCAAGTGGTTAATGTGTCGAAGGAAAAAACTTCTCTCCCAAGGGACTGTTGTGCTTTTGATGTGGCTACTATCCATGACGTGGTAAATAATCCCAATGAAGCTGAAGAAAATTCTGAAAAAACAAGTGGCTTTTGTGCAACAGAGGACCATGCTTTTAAAACTAATCGCGTGGTTGTGGAGTATGATAAAGAACTTGAAGTTGACCACAGTGGAGAGAATGTGGAAGCTGAAATTTCTGAAGAGCCAGAATTAGAAACTGAGATTATATCGTCCAATGAGAAATCTTCGAGGCTTGAAAGAACGAACCTGTCATGTTGTCTATTTCAGAAAGAGGATCATTTTGTCCCGTCGGATTTGGTTTGGGGAAAGGTCCGCAGCCATCCATGGTGGCCCGGACAAATATTTGATCCGGCCCATGCTTCTGAGAAGGCTCTTAAATATCAGAAGAAAGAGGATTCTTATTTGGTAGCGTATTTTGGGGATGGCACTTTTGCTTGGATTGAAGAATCTAAGTTGAAGTCTTTTGGGTCGTATTTTTCCCAAATGGAGAAGCAAAGTAATTCTGAAAAACTTAAAACTGCAGTCGACTCAGCCTTGGAAGAGGTCTCGAGACGGGTTGAGTTAGGTTTGTTGTGTGCTTGTGTGCCAAATGACGATTATTATTGTAAAATTGAAGCTCAGCTTGTCGAGAATGCTGGGATACGTCAAGAATCAAGTAAAAGGTATGGTGTGGATTATTCTGCACGGGCCCATAATTTTCTGCCCGACAAACTTATAGATTACGTTAGTGATTTGGCTACTTCTGCATTTTCTGGGGCTGATCGGCTGGATCTTGCAATTGCTCATGCACAATTATCTGCATTTTGTCGTTTCAAGGGTTATAATGCTCCGGCTGAATTTGTTTCTTACGGGAATTTGGTAGAAAATGATGCAGACAGTGAGAAAACATCTCGTAAAAAACGTAAACGTATTCCAAAAACTGGTTACATGTCTAGGAAAAAAGAAAAAAACCCAGTTGAATTTACAGGTGATCGTGAAGCTATTTCCGCAGATGTTAAAGGTTTACCAGTCAGCTCGTCTTCCGCGAGAAAACGGAAAGCAACCGATTCTAAATCCGATGGGCCGAACAAAAGGGTAAGCGTATATGCTGCAAAAATATCTAACCCGACCAGTCGAAGCCTCCCCACCAAGCCTTCGTTTAAAATTGGCGATTGCATCCGTAGGGCAGCCACCCGACTGACGGGCCCCACATCTTCTACAGTACAAAAGGGCAATCACAACGATGATGAGATGGTAATTGATGGTGGTTATCATGGAATACACGGGCATTCGGAAAACAATCCCATGTTTGTTGCAGAGGAAGAATCTTCACGAGCTGACGAGATGGTAACACTCGAGCTTGCTGCACAAAGTCCCAAGGACGAGGTCATTTTTGATAATGACGAGACTTTCTTTATGGCTTTCAGAAATTCAGTAGTTTTCGATAGCCTGGAGGGGGAGAAAAATGCCGAACAGACGATTGATGGGCTCGGTGAGGAATTTGAGTTTGATGATCCGAAAGAATTTTATTCTGGTAAGGAGAAATTGGTAAAACCGGGCAAATTGCAGCCGAGGAAGAGATTAACCAATCCAAAGGTTGCTCTAAAGTTGGATAACGAGAATGTTACAAGGAAGGAGGAAGAGCTGTCGTTACCTGCTGAGCTTATTCTGAACTTCGTTGAGAAAAGTTGCATTCCTTCGGAAATTAATGTGAACAAAATGTTCAGACGATTCGGGTCGCTGATGGAGTCCGAGACCCAAGTTGATCACGATTTGGGCCGGGCCCGGGTGATCTTTAAGCGGGCTTGTGATGCTGAAGTTGCTCGTGATAGTGCCGGGAAGTTCAGCATTTTCGGGCCTTCGGTTGTTGTGAGTTATGAGATATGTTACTCACCTTTGATCTCTGTTAAGATTTTGCCCGATGATGTACCTCGTCAGTGCCTGGAAGGCGAGACTTTGGTGATTTAGGCCTCGTAATGAAGGTAATATAATTATATACTCAATATATCATCGGTTTTAGCATATTTTCAGAAAATCCCAGTTATTGGTTTTTTTCTTTCTTTTCGTTTGTGAAAAGACTTGAGCTGTATTTGCTAACAGGAAGTTGTGGCATATTCCCCGATGAGGATGAGGAAGCTGTTGCAGGATAGGTTCTGAGAAGGTAAGCAAAGAATGTTTGTTTTTCTAGGTTATAGGTTCTGAAAATTGGCTGTAGTTAGAGATGCTGCCATTTCTGTTCTCTGAGGAATTTGGTTGTACTTAGTGATGCTACTTTTTCTTTATACATATAATCAAGATGTTTATCATCATCATGCCGGTTTTGTCCATTTAGTTGTATTATATTTTTGGTTCGGTTTTCTTCTTTTATGCATGACCCATAGGGCTGTTACTGAACCGAACTGTCGCGAACAAATAACGTTCGTGTTCGATAAACAAGTCTTTGGTTTACTAATCAATCCAAACTCAAATTATTGAACGAACACAAAAAAGTTCGTGAACAAAAATGTATTGTATAATTTTACATATTATATACATATAATAGATACATATATAATATAATATAATATAATATAATATAATAAATAAATATGAATATTTGTTTGATACTGAAATAAAAAAAAAAAAAAATCAGCAAACACGAACCTTTAACTTGTTGAACAATTTGAACACGAACAATTCGAACAGTTCATGAACAAGTTCGACTATATAAACTATCGGACATGGACGTGTCGGACCAATAAATGGACGAGCATGAATGAAATTTTTTGTTCGATTACTAAAAGAATGAACAAGAACATGTTCGAAAATAGTCGAACTCGAAAACTTTAAGTTCGGTTCGATTTGGTTCGATAATAGCCTTAATGACCCTTGAGCTAAAATAAAAGGGTATCCCATTTTCTATGACATTTTTTGTATGATGCTGTGGATATTAGTCCAAACTAGAGATATTAAACGGTTCTTGCCCGTTTAGCCCGAAAAATAAACAGGGTTAGGGCCCTTTATTGTAGCCCATTTAAATTAGTGCTTTTTAGGCCCGATCCTTTTAGCCCGAAGTCGTTATGGCTAGCCCGAAACCGCTAGGCTAGCTCGTTTAACCTGGGTTGGTGGTGTAAATGTTTGCGGCTGATAAAGAATATGCCTGCAAGGTTTCTTATATATAAAATTTTGTTATTCTCCTTCACATGTAAGCATAAGTTGTAACAAATTGTTATTATTTTGAGAGATAATTTTAACAATTTTTTTATTCTGGTTCACAACAAAATATTTAAGCCAATTAGACGACTAAATTAAAACACATGAGATGAAGATGTGAGAGATTATAAATTCAGCAATATGATACAATATCGTGAAAATTCTCAAAGTTACAAAATAAGTAATAAAATGGTAATTACAAGTAATAGAACATTTTTTTTTCGTTTGAGAAAAAAAAAAAAATATTTTATTTAAGAGTTTGTAATGTGTGTTCATATATGAAGTGTAGTTGTATTTATAGAGTTGTAAACATTAAATAGAAGTTTAAAACAAAGCCGTTGTAAATTTTTATATGTATTTTTATTTTTGATATATTATTATTACAACATGTATGACCCGTTTAGCTCGAGACCCGGTAGGGTTAGGGTTATGTCCCTTTGTTGAAAGCCTGTTTAAATCTTAGCTTTTTAAGTTCGGACCGTATAATTGAAATTTTGCCATGACTAGCCCGTTTAACATCTCTATTTCAAACGCAAATACAATCACCTGATGTAGATATCTGTACCGTGACGGCAAAAGTGAGTCATAGATTTGGTTTAGATTGATAGCCTGCTTAAATCTTAGCTTTTTTTTTT